CTTGGAGGCAGCACTGAGAAGATCCAGGGCCTGGGGCTGGAGCACTCCCCTGGCTCCTTTCACTTGGAGGCAGCACTGAGAAGATCCAGGGCCTGAGGCTGGAGTAGGTGGCTCGTGGGTGTGTATGAAAGCCTTCTACTGCTTGTTTAAAGTTTAAATAAAGGAAAGAGAAAATCTAAGAGGATATAAGTATTGGTACCCATTGTATAACAAGGGCCAAGCTGGTAAGGAGGATTTGGGTGACATTCTTAGAAAAAAATTAAAAGAAAAGCTATCATCATAAGGTTGAGTTAAATATGTCAATAAACCACTTATTCAATTTTTCAAACTAGAAGCAACTTGTTGGATAGCGCTACAAAATTAATTTGATCTTCAAATTGGGAAGAATTTCGTGTTCTTCTGTCCCCCCCGCCAAATGTTTCCCACTAAAAGAAATATATTTATTCTGAATTCACATTTAGAAAGAATCTTCTCTGAAAAAGTCGTTTTCTTACTTCAAAGTTGGAATCATGAGTTCTATGCGGAATTTTTTATCCACATGAATCTCCCAAACACACTGGATGCCCGTCGGGTAGCTTTCCGGGTACAGTGGACTGGAAAAGGATCCAGAGAGACTTGACAAGACCCCTCCGCAGGCGCTACTTCCCCCTAAAGCCAGAGGAAAAAGGATGTCAGCATGTGCCCTGAGGCACCAACTATGGGACCCCAGTCATGACCCTCTCACACCTGGTGGTCTGGTGGAGTCAGGCAGTGGTCCACCCGGGGTGCGGGGGGCACACCCAGGTGTCTGGACAGACTTTTAGCCTAAACGTCTCCAGGGAAGGAGGGCCCATTCAATCTCATCCTGATGGGGCAAAAATATTAAAATATGGGAGTTCTCTGCCTTTTCCTCTCCCCTTACCCTCTGCCAAAGAAAATATTATATTTGTCAGGTCTGTTCACTATCTCCTCCTTCTTCTAAGGCAGAAGGATTCTTGCTTGTGGGGAAAGAGGCAGAGAGGATCTACATGGGGGGTTGGGGAGGAGGGACGAAGGGACAGATTCTATTGAGCCTGGGCATGGTGCGAGTTTGGGAAGGTTTGGGGAACAAGAAGCTCCAGAACAACTTTGGGGGTCTGAGGAGCCAGAGAGAAGGGGACGATGTGGCCTTCATTGAAGGGGACTATGACTGGCCACCCCCTTAAGTTCTTTTTCACCACCTTTTCTGGGTAGATTGTGTTTCCTTTAACTCAGTATCTACTGAGACTGAAACTTACAGGTCTTTGGATTTATAAGGGTTACACAAGTGAAATCTAATTTCTTCCGTATTGTATTTTACGTCATATTCATATAAATCAGTACACATGCCTATGTACACGCGTGCACATACACTTAAAGCAGCATGCCATGCAAAAAAGCAAAAATCTTAGAATCATCGAATTATTTTAGAGGAAACTTGAAAACATAACATGAGTTGTTGACCCTGTCCCCTAAATTACCAAGCTGCCTAATTTGCTCCTTCCTGTTTTTGCCTAACTAACTGGTAATGCTCCCAGAATTCCAAGATTCTTGGTCTTTCCTACGACAGATGGCGGGAAGTAGGGACGCGCCCAGTCATCTCGGAGCTATCCTGTTGGCCGTGTTGTAGTCACAACTGGGCCAGGTCAGACAGACACGAGAACCCCAGGACGGGTTTCTTGAAACCTCTACACATGAGCTGGGACCCATCATGGGTGCCCCCTACAGGACCGTACCCGGAGAAGGCAGGCTGGGTACCACCAGGTGTGACCAGCCACAGTCTCTGTCACCCTCCCACCTACTCTGACCTGGGCAGATCCACATACCCCCTTCCCAGCCTGCCCCTTTGGCTAGCAAGTCAGTATTTACAGGCCTTAGCAGTGCAAATGGATGCCCCTTGACCGAGGGGCTGTGTCGGCTGAGGTCCTGACTCCCCTGGCGTTCTCACGGAAGGGGCCATGACAGGACTGGCCTGGGAGGTGGGCAAGCAGCCCCTCAGCCATGTTGTGCCAGCCTCTCTGTGTCACATCCTGGGCACACTGCCTAGCATCTGCTGTGACGGTTCTCTCGGTGTGGAGTTACATCTCAATTTAAAACAAGTGACTACCTGTTATATAATCCCGAGAAGCTGTGGAAAGACCTAGAAGGGGGGAAAAAAAAGGGAGGTCATGCTGACATCCAGGGGAAAAATACTGCATTTCATCTACAAGTTAGCGAAACGTGAAGGGGTTTCTCTGAAGTGTCAAGGTACTTAGTGCCATCTGAGAAAGGTCTGAAGGTGCTGAGTGAATATTTCTACTGTCCTGTGGCAGATTAAAGAAGGCCACACATTCTTGGACATGCCTCCTGTCACGAAGTGGGATCTACGTCTCCTTGCTTGAACCTGGGTGGCCTCTGTTTTGGCCAACAGAATATGGTGGAAGTGACACTGTGCTTTAAGAGACCGAAGCTTCCACTTCTTGTCTCTGGGAACACGGGCTTGTCTGTGGCACCCTGAGCCACCTTGCAAGGAGTCTGATTAGTCTGCTGCAGGAGAGACCGTGTGAGGAGTCCTGAGACCACCTGGAGAGGAAGAGGGCCCTGGCTGAGCCCACCCTTCCAGCAGTCTCCTCCAAGCACAGAGCATGTGAGTGCAGCTGTCCTCAAGTCTCAGGACCACCCTGTAGGCGAGCTCCACCGAGTGACCCTGCTCAGAGCTACGTGGAACAGAAGAATCTCCTATCCCAGCCCTGCCCAAATTCCTGACCCACAACAACATAACATGTCATTAAATGGCTGTGGTGTTAAACCACTCTGTTTTTGGAGTAGCAACACATAACCAGGATGGTTTCTTCCACTCAATATGGTCCTCCTCATTTCCCTGTCATCTATGTAAGCTTCAGTATAGCTGAGTTATATAAAATGAGAACTACAGGTAGGCCTTCATTTGAATATCCACTGCCCTTGACCTCTATCCATGGCCTTGGAAATTTGGACAGTCCTCCCTCCCACTCATGATCCCACTTCTCTACACAAGTGTCCAAGAGAGATGCTTCTGCCAATGACTTATGACTTGTGTATGTGGAGGCAGCCAGGTTCATTCAAAGGGCGAGATGGGGTCTGCAAAGTCCAGTTCTGCTACTTTCTTTCTTCTCTCTCTCTTCCTTTTCTGAAGATTTATTTATTCATTTACTTGAGAGAGAGAGAGGGAGAGCATGAACGAGTCGGGGGAGGGGCAGAAGGAGAGGGAGGGAGAATCTCCAGCACACTCCCCGCTGAGCGCAGAGCCTGACATGGGGCTCAATCCCATGACCTTCAGATCATAACCTGAGCCGAAATCAAGAGTTGGATGCTTAACTGACTGAACCATCCAGGTGCCCCTAGTTTTGCTACTTTCTAATTGAGTTATCTTGGGCAGGCTTTTGGATCTCCTTAATCCTCAGCTCTGAGGATGAGATAAATTTATTCATACAGAAACCCCAGCATCATGCCTGCTCCGGTGCAGATGCTCAGAAATGTCTATTGCAATGAAACAAAATACCTTTTTGTTTACCTCCAGTATCATTTCAGAATTTACATTGCATGTGTTGGTCTGGTTTTTCTAATCTTTGGTTTTTATTACAGATGAATATCACTCAATCCTTAAGTTAGAAAATCTCTGAAAATAGGCAAAAGTCATAAGATCCCCAAGAGCATGTACTTTGTGGGCAGACTGATCAGTGTCAGTACTCGGTTCCACCATTAACTTACTGAGTGATCTCAGGAAAGTTACTCAACCTTTCTGTGCCTCAAATTTCTCTTCGGTAAAATATAAAATGCCTTTTTGCAGGATTAGCAATAGTCTGAGCAAAATGTCTCCCCGTCTTTGTGCTAATTTTACCTTGTCTTTGTGGAGCTGGGGTCAGTGAAAGGATGTGGTCAATGAGACTGGTGGCCAAGGGTTCAAATCCACTGGCTGGCCCTGGGTACATTACTAACTTTCTTTGCCTCAGTTCACCCATCTGGAAAAGTACTTGCTTCAATGCATTATTGTGGGGATTAAATGAGTTATATATGTGAGGGGCTCAGAACAGTGCCTGTTTCTTAGCATTTGCAAGTAAATTTGATATTATTATTATTGGAAAGTTGTCTGGACTAGAAAAAAATATGGACATACCTGGAGGTGTGGGAGGAGGCAGCTCTTCTGCATCTGAATGCAAAAAGAAAGGCAATAGGTCACTCTCTTTAGTGAATCCAAAGCATGGGGGAGGGGTAACGAGGGTGCAGGTGGCAGATCGAGGGGAAAGGGTGCAGGTGGGGAATAAGGGGAGAGGACCCTTGCCTTTTGGGGCACAAGACTCAGCCCTCCTCTGGCAGGGTCTCTGGCCTTGGGAGGGGTGCGACACAGCAGCTGGGTCATCTCTGCACCACCTCAGGCAGTGCAGGATTACCCATGGCCCCTCTTATGCTGAATCACCCAGACTACTTGTGAAAAGGCAGATTCCAGCAGCCCTGCCCAAATTAGTTAGTCGTGATCTCTGGGGCCGAGGCCCAGGATTCTGCATTGCAATACCACAGGTGGGGCTGGTGTACACAAACATTCGAGACCTCCCGTGTGCAACCTGGCGCTGCCCAAGGGTGTGTGTGAGCCCAGGGCTTGGTGCAGAGCAGACGCTCAAGGATTGTTTTATGAAAGAATGAGCAAATGCGCAGATGGATAAATTCCATCTGGGATGCACAGTTTCAAAATGTCTTCAATAAAAACATTAGAAATTACTGCCCGAGACGGGAGGGGCTACCTGAGCAGATGATGCCGGCATCCTCGTGGTGGCCACAGTTGTGCTCCGACCAGCCCGAGTGGGCACACTGGCCCAGGTAGAGCTCCACCCCGGAGCACTGCAGGTTGTCCAGGAAGATGTTTCCAGAGCCCGGGCCGAAGTGGGCCTTCCCCAGGGCGGACAGGGCCCGTCCGCACCCCAGCTGTCGGCACACGACCTCGGCTTCGTTCAGGTCCCAGAGGTCATCACACACGGTGCCCCAGGCCCCCTGGTGGAGGACCTCCACGCGTCCTGAGCACCGACCTGAGCCGCCTACCAGCCGCAGCTCTGGCCAGTCCCCTGCAGATAGAGACCTGGTGATCATTGTCTTCCAGAGACACTGCACATTGCCCATGAGCTGGTTGAGCTCTCCACCCTGACACTACTATTAGGGATGGGGAACTTGATAAAAGAGCCAGTCAACTGCTCAACCTCCTAGTTGGAGGTTAATATGCAATTAAGATTGTCAAAATAACATTTAGCCTAAAGCATTCATTAATCGAGTACCTGTCGGGCCAGAGGTATGTGCCAATCTATTTTAGCTAAATGCAGACAAAAATTGTAAACAATATTAACAGTAATTTGTGGCTTTGTGGAACGCCTTTGTGTGTGTGTGTGTGTGTGTGCGCGTGTGCGCGTGTATGTATTCATCTTCACCTTTGTAATAACTCAGGAGGCAAGCAGAAGAGCACCAGTATGCCAATTTTATCCATAGGGAGACTGAAAGTTGGAGAGGTGAAATGATTCACCCCAAATCCCACATCTGGGAAGTAGCAGATCTAAAGTCAGCACTTCCGGTTCCAAAGTTCAGTATTTTTTTCTGATATTCCATCTCACTGCCTCTGGAATGGCTTTGACGCTCTACTCACTTTGAAAAAGCCTATTAGTTATGCACATATAGGTTAACTATGAGCAAGACTGGCCAAATAAAAAAAAAAGATAGAACCCCACTAAAGGCACTTGGAAGCTGCTCAGGCTTTGAAGACTCTGAAAAACACTGAAAAAATGAACTTTGCTCACCCTGGGATGCTAGAGCCAAAGGATCCCAAGAGTTTTGGATGGTCCTAAAAATGTGCATAGAGTCAACTGGCCCATTTTGCAAACAGAGGAACTACTTGCAGTTGGTCCAGTTCCTGCCCATGCAGCACGTACCAATGCAGGTACCAAGAGGAAAGGATAGTTGGTAAATGAATGAATGCATCCCAGGGCTTACCTGGTCTTGCTGTCACTGTCTTGGGTGTTGCTGTTGGGATTGCTGTGAATACAAGATGACACCCTTCAGATATAAAGGGTCAAGATGGCTATATCCCTTAAACGCCAAGATTCTGGTTGATTCATTCTCCCTAGCATCTTTATAATAAGTGACCTCCCAAGTCAAACTCTGTTTATGTTGCTCCTCAGACGTGTAGGATCCAACAGAAAAAATATTCCCTTCTGTCCAGTCACTGGAAATATAATGACACTTAAATTGTGCCGTCCTGTGCCAAAATGCAAACATGCATGGTGCCCTTCTAGGGAAAAAGCCATTTCTTCTACATGCTTCTGTTTTGTTAACTTTCCCTAAGTGTGCAGTGCTTGATTAGGTGTGTCTTACTGTTTTTGACAAAAGCAAGGAATTAAGAAATCAAATTGGCAATTATCAATTTATAGAAACCCAATTATTGGTATATTTAACTTGGTTCCATGGTGAATGGTCATCATGCTTGTGCAAAACCTGGACTGACAGACCTCTCAGCTAGTTGGACTGATGCAGGAAATTAGGAAATGTATAAGACAGAGATCGAACTATGACACTCCAAGCACCAGGAGGGCAGACAGAGGAAGACACACAAATGAGGAATGAAGATAGAGTAGCAACAGTAAATGCGACTCACTGATTAGATGTGGGGTCCTTGAACTTGCCTCTGCAATGACAAAGAAGCCTCGTCAGTAATTGTTCAATCGCAGTGACAGTGACTTCTTCTGATCCACTTTGTGACACAGAGTGCCTCCTCTGTGTTTCATAGCATACTTCCCAAGCGTGCTCACTGAGCCGCCCTGGCGCTCGCTAACAGGGTGGGAGACTAGTCTGAACAGCATCTCAGCCAAGGCGGAAGCTAGAACTGCTCATGAGGTCCATGAGGCAGCGTCTTTTCTCTCAGTGGTAAATAGTGCAGGACCCATGACTGGGTGACCTCGGAACAATTACGGAACCTCTCTAGCCTCAGCTTCCCCATCTGTAAAAAGGGAAGAACCATGGGTTCATGTGAGGATGAAAGGAGGTAACACGTATAAAGTGCTTACAGGGTTGCCTTGCATAAAATAGGCATTCGGTAAATGTTCGTTGCCATTTTGATCACTGTTGCTGTGATTACCCAACCTTGAGTACCTGTGCTTAATCAGAAACCCTTGGCTTAGCTTCTGTCTGCCTTCTCGTCTCGCCACATGTCCTGTACTTCCCATCTCTGTGCTCACACTGCTCCTTCACCTGTGTGCCCCCTCCCTATTTCTTGACTCACAGCCTGGCTAGGCTTAAAGACAAATCTAAGGCTGTTTCCTCCTATGTTCCCTTCATGTTTATAGCCCGCATGGCTCTTTCCCTTTTCTAATGTCTTTTGCTGAGATGCATGCTGTGTCAATTTAGTATATTCTAGTCTATTCTATTTGTTTGCCTTCATTTAGTATATTCTACTTGTCCTCTAATTGTATCACATGGGTTTGTCTTGAACTCCTTCCAGGTTGTACACGAGCCCCTCTTAGGCTGGGACCACACCTTCTTCTTCCTCTGTAGGTCCTAAAACACCCACCTAGTACTAGATTCAGTGTAACTCCAGAAGTGGCATCCTAATGGGCGGACTGCAATGAGGTATTTATGGGGAACCGGGCCCAGGGTTGAATCTGCCAAGTACTGAGCACATGATATACCATCACTGTGCAAGGGCTGGTGTCATTTCAGGTAAGCCCCACGACAAGCCTAGGAGGGAAGCTTCTCTTATCCCCATTATACAGGGAATGGTTTGAGGCACAGAGAGGTTGGGTCTCTTATCCAGGGTCACAAAGTAAGCGATGGGGTTCTAACTGGCCCCAAGGCAGGCACTCCAGCTGCAGTTCCAAAGCTCCTGCTTTTAACCAGCATTCATACCTTTGGCTGCAGAATAATAATATGCAACGAAGTTTTTCCCTATGTTGTTGAAGCTTCGGAAGTACACGAGGGTCAGTGAGCTGGAGGAGGACGAGTAGGTGAGGTAGGACCCAGAGCAGGTCTTCCCCAGGGACTTTGTTGAGGATGGAGGGCCGTCCAGGATTTCAAAATATTCATTGGTGCAATCTAGGCTAGGGAAGCAAAGACCAATGGCTGCCTCTTAGCCTCCCCATTAGCAGATCTTAGAGGTATGCTGTGAGGCAGACTCTTTCTTTCATGACAATGAAACTGGGGACAGATTAAAAGCCTGTCAGCCATTTAAACATAGTATAGAATCCTTTAATCCCACTTTTTCTTGAGGAGATGGGATCTTAACTGGAAGAGGGAATAGGCGGCTGAAGCACTAGGTGGACCCCTGCTGAGGTCTGGGACTGCAGGTACCTGGAAGCCCAGGGCCAACGGCCAGCAATGGCCTGCCTCTAAGACATGGCCTCAGGCTCCAAACAACCTATTTACAAACTCTGCAGGTGACCTGCCTAGAGGGAAGCGCGCTACCAAGTCTGCCCTGCTTGCTTTGTGCAAGTCATCTGATCTGTCAGCTCTTGTTCTTCATTGTGAAGTTTTGTCCAGATGCCCCTAGGGTTAGAGTCAGGAGACCATCTCCATGCCTCAGCCTGATGAGCCGTCCATTCTAAGTCATTTTTTGATTAAGCAAAATTCAAAAGTAATAAATAATTTAGGTTGCTCCTGGGAGTTAATTTCCATAAGACATTCATTTGTGAATGACATCAACCTTGACTATTTACAATATTAAAACCTAAAATTTCTTGATTTGTGAGGTCTGGGGGTTTCCTGAAATCTGCATCTTTAACCAGAGACTGAAACATACATTCTCACTCTCTCTCTCTCTCTCACACACACACACACACACACACAAGTGGATATGGGAAGCAGTGAAACAGAATAAGGTCTATGACCTAGCGCAGTATTGCATTACTTCCTGGTTTGATATTGTCCTACAGTTATAGACGATGCCACCACTGGGGGGAGCTGGGTGAAGGGTACATCGGACTCTATGTATTATTTTTGTAACTTCCTGTGTGTCTACGATTATTTCAAAATTCAAAATTAAAAAGGGCATGAAGGACTCATGGCACAGAAAAATGCTTCAAATTTTAAACTACACAGAATACTTAAATCATGCACTTGTGACTTACTTAAGATATGGAAATGCCAGCAATATGTGATCAGATGCATTAGCCTTGATTTCCCACACACAGGTTATGTTGTCATGCATTTCGTTCTGTGGGGGATTCCTAATAGCTCCAGATGAGTTGGTAATTACTCTGCCACACCTAGATTTTTCTAAAAGAAGAAAAATATTTTAGAATTTCAGTTTTTTTCATTGTTCAGTTCACTAATTTTATATAATTCACACTTTCTTTCCCTTTCATTTTTTTTTTTCACCGAAAAGGTCTCATTGGTCATTACCTTGTGGATATGTCTTAGGACATATCAGAGGCATACACCAGTCTAAAAACTCACAAACTTAGGAGATTAGGGCATGAGAGTGTCTGAATTTTGAAACACCTCTCACTTGTTTAGAGAATTCTACCCTGACGTGGCCTTGCTGGGCAGAGCGGTTAGCCAGTATCAACCAGAGTCTTTCCCTCTGGTTGTTATTCCCTAGTGGTGGGTTCTGTAGGTTTGACTTTTGTGAGGCCACCAGTAGTAATGAGTAAATGGCTTCATTTTCCCAAGTAAAGCTGAGTCTACATGGAACCTCTATGTATATGAAGATGTCAGCGTTCCATCTGCCATCTGTTATAATTTATTAAAATTACACTATTAAAAATCCACTACTAAGTGGAGAGAACTTGCCCTGAGTCATCTACCCCTCCAACACTGACATCATTCTGTGTCTGCCTGTTCACCACTTGTCCGTTTGTTTTACCATCTGCTTGTCTGTGTATCCATATGCCCAATATTCAGTACAAAATTAAAGGTAACACCTAAGGCAATGGCTTTCTCCATCAGACAATCTGGCCATATGAGAATTGGACCTACACTCGATTGGCTCTGGTCATCTATCTGTGGCTCTTCCACAGAAGGACCAGCCAGGCTCTCCAGGCATCAGTATTATTTTAACGCTTTATCTCCAAGTGGTGCTAAGAAAAGTTTAGTGGAGCTTCTGGAAGCCCAAGATACAGACAAAAACAGAGGGGAAAAAATGGAAGATGCAAAGAAAGCATGAATAAGGAAGATAGAGATTGTCAGAGAAGGGAAAAGGGTGGAGAAGAAGAACATGGTCATTAAGGCGGCAGCCCTCTGAAATGATGCTCTTGGGTAGCTCCATGGCAACACTGCCATGTTAAGAGCCACATGCCTGTCTTTCACATGTAGTGTCCATGCTGGAGACCAAGCATGCTGGTGTCACTTGATTATTTGGACTGCCTTTTTTGACTACATAGAAATGGAATTGGAACCATAAATTCATCTGCCTTCATTATTGGACTCTTCACTCAGAACACAGGTTCAGAGGGGTGACCTAGCCAGGGCAGTAGTATTTTGCTCAACTTCCTTGGAGAATCACTTCAGCGCTTGAGCTAGAAGATGGTGGTCAGAGCAGCCAAGGATACCAAAGTCTCACCTGTGGCCATTGTTCCTGCTATGACAGCCAGTGGGCGATCTGTCAAACACACAAAGGACATGTGGCTCGTCAGCTGGCTCTGAGGTCCCAACACTAGCTGCACATGATACCCTGAGGACCTCAGATCAAATACAGTGGGCCCCCCCCACCGAACTGCTGAGTCATCTCTGGGGGCAAGGCCAGAACATGTAGGGGGATGTTAATGTGTGGGATGGAAGAAGCACTGATCTAGATCCTCTCCAGATTTTGATAAATTATCCTCTTGTCATACACACAAATGAGATATTTTTAAATTGGGGGTTTAAGAACACTAAAGACATGAAATTCTGCCAACTGTAGCCAATTCTAATGACCCAAGGCCTGGTAGTTATGAGACTTCCAGGAAAGAATAGGAAGAGGTACCAATTCACCCCTTCCTTTGACCTGGTGTTGCTCAGAGATGGTGAGCCCACATCTAAGGATGCTGTGGATCCTCCTTCATGCCCCCTGCATATCTCCTACCAGTGACACCTGGCCCAGAACCTCCCACTAGAGACCCTTTCCTAGGACCAATCCATTCCCACCTGCTAGAGTTGACAACCCAGGAGGGAATATGCCTGAAGTTTTATCAGGCCTTTTCTACTCAGCTTTATTCATGACTCACTCTCTGATCAAGAGCCCGCTGAGGGCAGATCATCAGGGAACCTGGGGATTTGATGAAGGAGAGTGGGCACTGGCATGGAAAACTCTGGGTGCTGGCATTAAGAGCATGTGGGAAAACCAATAGCAAAAGAAATTCTGTGGGCACCAGGAACAAAGCAGAAGCAGGGAGAAGGTGGGAATGGTCACCTTGACTTTGGCCAGGTCCAGCCCACCAGCCATCTGCTCCTGGGCAAGAAATGTCCTTAACCACCTCTTATATTTTAACCACCCCCCCACCCATATCTCATTTCTGTTGCCTTGTAACCCTCAGAGCTGGCAAACTGAAAGTGCTATATACAAGTCTGAGAAATTTAGAATCTGCTTCCTGTGTATAAAATGGGGGAGAAGTTGAAAGTGAGGTTGGATCAAATGATTTCTAAGGAACTATCCATTTCTCCCATTGGACAGTCAGGTGACACCACATGTCCCAGTCACTCCACCGGCCTGCAGGATGACACATCCAACTTCCAGCAGCACTTCTTCCCCAAGATTTTGGGAAACTGCCCATGTAAATATCGCCTTCCTTACCTGGGGCTGAGACTGTTGAGTATTCAGCATCTGTAAGCATGAGGGATGAAAATATCTGCCGTGAGCAAGTAAAGTACTGATTCCTTTTCAACAGCTAGATTTACATTGTCTTTTGAAAGGTATTCTCTCAGAAAGAGCCGAGGCTGGGCTTTGCCTGGGAGGGCAGGGGTTTACCTGAACAGATCACGCCAGCATCTTCTCCGTGCCCACAGTTGTGGGAAAACCAGCCGATGTGGGAGCACTCCTCCAGGTGCTGTTCATCTCCCCCGCAGTGCACGTTGTCAAGGAGGATCTTCCCAGAGCCTTCCCCAAAGTGGGCCTCACCTGGGGCTAAAATGGCCCAGCCACACCCCAGCTGCCTGCAGATGATGTTTGCTTCTGGCAGGTCCCAGAGGTCATCACACACGGTCCCCCAGACTCCCTGGTAGAAGAGTTCCACACGGCCTGCGCATCTTCCATGGCCACCTACCAGCCGCACGGGGGCCCAGCCTCCTGGGGAAGAACCGTGGGTCACGGGGTGATCGTCACTCACTCTGCCTTTCGATGACTGGACTATCTGCTACCCAACCTAGCTTTTCTTATTTTCCATGACTTTGCTATTCACACTCTTCACGAGGTCATGTGAGCTCCCATGCTATTCTCTAGGTAAGTCTGCTTTAAGAAGCTTGTAATGTCTTCCTTATCCACACTCATTTAAGACTGCTTGCCTGTGGTAGAGTATTTACAAAAATGACCACCATGCTTCTCTTGCTGATATCCTCACTCTTTACAATGTGACATTGCTGCTCTGCCTATCAAGAAGTTAGCTTATTTTCCCACTCCTTGATTTTAAGCTGTGGCCTGTGACTTGCTCTGGCCAGTAGAATGTGGCAGAAGGAATGGTGCACTCACGTGGAGCTGAGGCCTCAAGAGGCATGACAGGTGGGCTTCAGTTCATTCCATGGAAACACTGAGGGGATCATGTGAATAAGCTTGAGCTAGCCCATGGGTGATAAAGGATGCATGACCTCATCACCTCTGTCACCTCAGGTAAGAGCTATGGAACTGTAAGACATGTGAGGGAGGCCATCCTAGGCCAGCAGTCTTCAGCTGACCTGTCAGCTAGCCACAGATGCATGAGCAAGTCCTGCTGAGTCAGCCAAGACCAGCCAAGCCTATCCCAGAGTGGCAGAACAACCCAGCTGACCCTTAGACTCATGAGCAGTGGTAGATGGTAGTCATTTTAAGCCACTGTGTTTTGGGATGGTTTTACATGGCAATAGATAATTTATAGACTTGTTTATCCATACTCCCTTCTTAGATAAGTTACTTTTTGTGGTGATCATTTTGCAATATATACAAATGTGGAATCCTTATGTTGTAGTCCTGAAACTAATATTAATGTTATATGTCAATTATACCTCAATAAAAAATTGTATACAAAGAAGAGAGCTTGGACAGATATATAAACAATGTTAACATAAAAAAGATGTGGAGTGTGAATTCAGGTGATTGAAACTCACAGAGCCAACAATGGCGCCTTTGGTAATTGCCACACCCCCAAAACCTTGGCCAATGGCTAGGAGCTATGGCACCTGCTGGGCACTATTCTATCAGGGATGCTCAGATCCCTGGGAGTGATAATGGCTCCATTCTCTCCTCCCTGAATCTTTTGACTATACAGCTAGATTAAGAGACTAAAGGGTCCAATGTTTTATTCCTGCCTTATCTGACCTCAGACTAGACCTAATTTGTAAAAGAAAAAAACAAAACTTAATTCAAGGTCAAATATCCTGAAATATTACTCATCCCTGATCACAGCGGAAAATCATCTCAAAGAGCCACTGCACTGTTCACTAATTCTGTATGGTTATTGGCCAGCCCTATATTCGAATTTGGAACACATGTTAATGTCTTCTACCCTGCAGCCCACAGGGAGTCAGTCTGGTTTCTTCCCTGCCTGGCACAATCCCATTGCCCCCTCACCCTTCAGGTCCTGCCCAGACCCCTCGGCTCTGGATGGAGAGGCTCTTCTGGTTACACATGGCACCCTGTGCTCCCCCATCAGAGTATTCAGCACACTTCTTTTGTAACAGGTTACTCCCCCTCTTCCCCCAGGAACTTAGTTTACTTGAGTTTCAGCTCTGTTTATTGCTGTATATAATCTCAGTGACATATATTCTTAGTGGCACATATTCATTCATTCATTCATCCATTGTTGGATGAAAAAAATTGTCCAGAAGACATAATATAAAAAAAAACAGCCTTACCTGGAGGTGCAGAAGAAGGTGGGTGTTGAGCTGCTGATATCACCAATGATGTGGGAAGCAGGTTCTCATAGGCTGTTGGTGGATAAAAAGGAAGGTCATCAAGGAGAAGTCAGAACATTGGGAGAAGATAACAGTTGCTTCAAGGGGCCATCTGCCTCCTCCCAGGATTCACCAGGAATAACCATGACACTGCATTCTAAGGCCAGTGACATCATAGCCCCCAGATCTTCATTTAGGGCAGAACATGGTATTATTGCCCATTGACAAAGGAACATGCACCACATGGCCATCAGAAAAGCAAAGCTCATGGACAATTTGCCCCATGTGGCCTGCCACAGGAGAGGCCATCAGTTGGCCATGATCTCTCTCTTTGCTGCCCTCTCCCCAGGTGTGTCATGACTTCACCTGAACAAAGCAAGGAAATTCACACAGCAGTTTCTGGAAGTGGAGTGGGGGGAGGGAGGAGAGCATCAACCCTGAAACACACGAGGAAACCTTTCAGGGCAAGGGAACCGTATTATATTTTCACTGTGGTGGTGATTATACAGTGGCACCCAATTACCAAAATCCATCAAACTGGACCTGAAAATGGGTGAGCCTTATGGTACACAAATCAAACATTAATAAAAATATGATGGGTTGATGGATGAGTGAAGAGATGATAGAAAGATTGCTAAATTTATCATGGGATCTAGGTAGGTAGGATCTCATTGTTAAATCCTTCAAACTGCTGCCTATTTGAAAATTCTCATAATAAGATGTTAGGTGGGAAAGTGTCCCTCAATTTCTAGTACAAGACCTACATCTCTGTCCTTCAACGACAACCTCTTGCTTTCCACAGTGGCATACACTTCACTCAACCAGTCCACATGGCTGCTTATCCTCTCTGTGTAGTCACTGAATGTCAAAGGCATAGAATTTTAGGGAGCGTGGAATCCCCTGTGCCTATTCTAATGACATGGAGAGTGATGGCCAAGGTCATTCATCTGGAGAGAGACCAGCCAGGATCAGATTCCTTCAGCTCAGGGCCCTTTGCACTCCCCACACAACCTCCCTTAGTCAGCATTAGACCAAACGGAGGAACTATGTGAGTGCTTGTCAGGTGCTAGGTGTCTTTGGGCATTGTCATATTCAATTCTCAATCATTCAATTCTCTGTGTTTTTCCTAGTCTTACAAAGAGAAATCCAGATGAAACGGGATCAAGAGATGATATAACTTGGCTGAGGTAACATAACTGAGGGTGATCCTATGCCATGTCTGTCCCTCCCATTAGGGTGCAGACCCAGTGACAGAAGGGAGCTGGGGGGGGGGTGGTTTGAGCACGGCTGTGGCCCCAGTGCTTATTGGCACGGAGTAGCACATAGTTCAGTCAGTATCCACTGAATGAACAGATGAGTGAATGAATGAAGCTGGGAATCAAACCAGGATCTGACTTTAAACCTCATGATCTTTCTTATATCATCTAGTAGATGATGCCAAATGTAACACGGGTTCTACCTGTAGGCTGAGCAGCTGTGGAATCAGCACCTGTGAACATGAAGAGAGATTGTGCATGTTATCATGTCTTATTCAGTGACTGTTTATTGGGAACGTCCTAGATTTAGGGAGCTGGGGGAAGCAGAGAGAGGCAGAGACCCTGCCCTTGAGAGTCTTAGCATTTCCTGGGGATTTGAGACATGAGACCAGGCAGCAAATGCTGAGTGTCCCAGGAGAGCTTCAGAAGGTAGTGCCCCCGCCCCCAGGGGCCTTAGGTGTTGAGAGGCTCAGGAAGGCCAGGTGCAGCCTGGCAGAGCTTGTCATTTGTAGGTACATTACTCCAGCTGCCAGTGGGTTGGAATCAGGAAAGATTCTGTTGTGACACAGAGTCAAATAGAAGGACACATAGGTTTGGGAAGGTCACCCAGTCTAGATGTGGAGGGCCTGGAAAATCAGCTGACAAATTTGGCCCATCACCCAGAGGTTACAAACTCAAAATCTAAAGTTTCCAAGGGCCATGGAAATAAAACAAATAAGGGATTTGAGTGATGGGGACTGTGTGAACTAGAAAGCTGTTTCCTGACCAAAGGGTCAGCTCTTTCTCAGATCCAGCCAGTTAATATAATAAAATAATTTGTTGTTTTGAGCCTGAACTTCTGTTTTTATTTTTTTCACAAATGCAAGAATTTGGATTTTTATGCCAGATATTCCGATTTGGCTGAATTCAAGTTCCATCTGCATTTTCTAACCAAACAAGCCACTTCTGAGCCTGCATCAGTGATTATGAGCCATACTCAACAATCTTTGCAGTCAAGGGGATGGTCAGGCTGATGCATAACTTTGAAAGGATGTAGACAACACCAGTTGCCTGTCTCAATCCACTGACATTTCTAGGCTGTGCTACATTGTGTGTGTGGAGGAATGAGAAGTGAGGGGATAGGAGTAGCCCTCCAAATGAGGACTGCCAGCCAGCCCCTCACCTGCGCAGATGACGCCGGTGTCCTCCAGGTGCCCACAGTTGTGCCCGGCCTCAGCTCTGTGCACGCATTGCCCAAGGTGGCTCTCACTGCCCACACATTGCACATCATCCAACAGGATCTTCCCGGACCCTGCCCTGAAGTGGGCCCCTGAGGGGGCTGCCACGGCCTGGCCACACTGCAGCTGGTGGCACACCACTGTGGCCTCAGCCAGGTCCCAGAGGTCATCACACACAGTCCCCCACCTGCCCTGGATGAGAACCTCCACTCGGCCTGAGCAACTCCCTGTGCCATTTACCAGCCTCACGGCCATCCAGGTTCCTGGGGAGATACAGGGCAATGGGAAATTATGAGATTGGTCTTGGTGTCAGCATATTGCCTTGATCCTGTTATAGTGGTCTGATAAACTGCTGATGTCATAATTCCTCTGGGTTGGGCAGATAGAGAGCTCTATGGTCTTAGAACATCAAGGCTAGACTTTCTTCTTCCTGGAAGTGCCCGAAGGGGCTGGAAGACCCCAGGAAGCAGCAGCATCTGACTTCTAGAGGGGGAAAGCCAGAGGCCCTGGGTTCTCAGCCTTACACATGTCAACTCATCCCACCTACAGCAAAAGAACTTCAGGGAATCCTAGACCTGAGGGTCACATGGATGGGGCCCCTGTGACAGCCTTGCCTTGGTGGATAGCTGACCAGAGTCTTCTTATAGAAGTTGCCCAGTGTGGTGTAATCTGGAGATTACAGAGCACTCTTTTTAGCACTAGAGACATTTCTTTGTTGCCAGCATGGTTGTACTTTCAAACATAGAATTTTCACTTAATGTCTATTAAGGTGCAAAACTGGACAGAGTTCACTCCTCAGGATTTATATATAACCAGTGACATGATGGAGAAACCACACACACTGCACTATCAGGGCAAATAACAAGGAATACCTCTAGGAGTCTAATAATGCTATCGGTGATGGACACTTCATCTATTTTGGGAGATCAGCCAAGAAACGGCTTTGAAACCTGAAGACAATTTCTGCACGTTGATCATAAGGGAAGGGGGCTTGCTCCCGACAGAGTGAAGGGAAGGGCAAGTTCACATAGGAGGGAAATTTGTGGTGCTTCAATTGCAACACGATTTGAATAAATGAGCTCATTTTTTCTTCCTCAAGCATGAGAAAGTCATGCAAATGTTGTGATCTACAAGGACATAGAAAATGGGAAGGATAATAAGAGCTAATGGAAAATTTCAGAACATTCTTTTTAGAAACTAGAGAGCAGACAGAGTGGGTTTTGGGGGGATGTTTGCATAGCATTAATTTGGGCTGTAGTGGGCTAGGCGGGGATGGCTACCCACCAGAAGTGAGCGGACTCACCCCAGAGAAACCTTGCAGGTGATGTGTTTGGAGGAATAGGATGCCAACCAATGTAGGAGTGAGGTGCTGGCAAAGAAGGGGATCATGGTTAATTGTATTTTTGAAAGATGTCTACAAAATATCTCCCATTCCTCAAGCCCTTCTGGAACCTTGACTGTCCCATGTCCCAAGGAGGAGCTTCTGCATCATCCTTCCAAACCTGGGCAGGTTGTGACTTTCTTGGCCAATGGAGTATGGTGCGAGTGACACTAAACATTTTTGAGCCAGGGTGAGGGAAGTGCCATGCACTCGTGTCCTGTTTCCTCCAGGGACTCATGCCTGGGACTTGGCCACCATCCTGGGACAAAGGCCAGGCCTCATGCTGACATCTGAAAGCTACTTCTCAATGTGTTTAAATTTCTCTGGGCCAATACTCTCACTTCAGCAAAAAGCAAATATTTGATCACAACAATGATGACGACAGTTATGATAAAGTTAACATTTATATAGACTTCCTAGTGTCCAGCACTAAGTAATTGACACCATCAGCTCCTTTAACGTCCACCATGGTCCTCAAACCACATCTATGTATATATATGTGTGTGTAGATGTGTTTATATAAATAATAGTGTGTACACAGGCATATACACACACTCACAGATGTATTAGATACAAATATATTCTATTATTATACCCATATTGTGTGGGGAATTAAGGCACAAAGCAGTTGAGTAACATGCCCAAGATCACACAGTTCTGGGGAACCAGTATTTGAAATTAGGAAATTTGGTTCCACGGTCCATGCAAGAAATCTTAGTAAGATTTATTTAGTAGAAAACAAAATAAACAAAAACTGGAGAGCAATCCCAAAAAGAATCAGATAAATATTTTGTGGGTATAGAACCAAGGTAGTGGGTGAAGTTGGAGAAGGAAGCCTGCATGACAGTAAGCCTGTTAGCACTGTGTAATTGTTAGTTCATGTGCAGGAAGGAAGGGAGGGAGGAAGGAAGGAGGGAGGGAGAGAAGGCGGGGAGAGAGGAAGGAAGGAAAGAAGGAGGGAGGGAAGGGGGGAGAGAGGAAGGAAGGAAAGAAGGAAAGAAGGAAGGAAGGAAGAAAGGAAAGAAGGAGGGAGGGAAGGAAAGCAGAGAGGAAGGAAGGGAGGAAGGAAAGAAGGAAGGAGGGAGGGAGGGAGGGGGGAAGAGTCCTTTATACTGCAACATTAACTGGGCCTAATTTTACAAATGTGCCTCTGTGGGAGAGGGAAAAGATGGCAGAGGAGTAGGGGACCCTATTCCAACCAGTCCCCGGAATTGAGCTGGTTATCTACCAGACCACTCTGAACACCCACGAAGTCAGCCTGAGATGTAAGAAGATAGATCTGGATCTCTACAAACAGAATATCGCAGGTGGTTGGTTTCAAGGTATGAAGTGGGGAGCTGTGATTCCGAGGCAGATATTGGAGGATAAACGGAAGGGGGAGAGAGCCACCAGGATCCTGCACCACCGGTGAACGATAGCCTCCCACGCTGGGGACGGGGCACAGACTCACAGACCAGTAGCAGCAGGGAAAGGACTTTAGGGCAGCCCCCCAGATGGAAACCGGTGTGGCAGGGCTGTGTGTGCAATGTGGGGGCAGCTGGCTGTTTTAGAAGCACAAAGGGCAGAGATGTGCTCTGACCTGCAGGTGAGGACTGGGAGGGAGGCTGAGGGGTGCACAATCCAGGACTGCAGTTTATAGCAGCACAGA